CAAAATGGGGAAGGTCGGCTACCGCCTTCCCCCCCCCCCCCCCCCCTTTCTTGCCACCTCAACCCAAACACATACATACACCTTACACATATGCACACACTCACACACACACACATATATATATATATTATATATACATATCCATCATCCAATAAACACACACACACACACATATATATATATATATATAAATATATATATATATATATATAACCAATTAATTCACAAATTTTCAAACCGGCATGTATCAATTACCATGTTATTACGTAATTATAAAATCTGATAATCACGTATAAATTACCTTGGGTAATAACCAAGATCTGGTTATCACAAAATGGGATATGAGATGGAGGTATTCTTCAAATCCAGAAATCGAATATAGGTTCCATCCTACTGCGGAAGACATTGTCGCCTCCACTTTAACCGTCGGTAAACGATTCTCTGACGTCGTTTAGCCATTCACTTCCTGGAGTTGATTTTATCGAGGAGCCAATGGTGGCCCTGATGCAGTTAATGTCGTTGTCTCCGCCATCCACCCCCTGTTCCAATACCAACGATGTCGTTATAGCAGGTTCCAGGAAATCGCATTTAAGATCTAAACCTAAACAACGAAAGCGATTTTATGTCATTGATTCCAGCGGCCATATCTTCGACGAGACGACGATGCAGCAGCTTTAGTTGTCGTCGGAAGAGAAGGCGTTTGTGCCTTTTAGTACGGAGCTTTTGTCAGTGATGCAATATATGATAAGGTCTAGAACAAAGAGGAGTGGGAATGTATATGCAACATGTGAGGAATGGTGGTAGGTTAGGAAACATCTTCTTCTTTTGCGATTGATTTGAGTTTTTTGTTTTCAAAAATTATGTTTGATTTCAAGGGGTGAAATAACATATAGACGGAAATTGCGTTTGGTTTCATGAGATGAAATAGCACATAAACGGAAATTGTGTTTGATTTCATTTGGTAAAATAAATTATAGATGAAAATTGTGTTTGAGTTTATGTGGTAAAATAACATATAGATGAAACACTATCATTATTAACCTTATAAAAAAATAACTTTTATATGATTCAGTTGGTAGTATGTGTTTCACTTGATGTATCTTTGCTAATAAAATGACGAGTATGCCATTTTCTAATTAAAAACAACTTTAAATTAAAATCATAGGATCAAAACTAAATTATGGCTTAAATCCGTTCTCACAGTTCTCAACTTTTTTATGGTTCTTATTTGATTACCGTCATATATATAATATATGTCAAATAAAAAGAATAAAGTGTTTATTTTTTAATACCATATATTTTGATTTTAAAAAACAAAACTTCAATTATTCTTGTTGGGATGCCACTGGTCAACGCATGTGAGATGACAACAGAAGCTTCATGGCTGCTCGAACATCTATTCTTGGCGTGATGCCGCTAGTCAAGAAATGTGATGGACTTGCGATTCTTGAAACGGTGTCTTAGTTGGGCAATTGAACTCGGATTCCAATGCATTATTTTCGAGCCCGATGCCCAACAAGTCGTCAAAGTCATTAACTCACTTGATGAAGACGACACAAAATACTGCTCAAACATACATTCTTGGCGTGATGCCGCTAGTCAAGGAATGTGATGGCCTTGCGATTCCTGAAGCAGTGTCTTAGTTGGGCAATTGAACTCGGGTTCCAATGCATTATTTTCGAGCCCAATGCCCAACAAGTCGTCAAAGCCATTAACTCACTTGATGAAGACGACACAAAATATGGTGAGATATTATCTCAAGGTGTCGCACGCTTCTCCACCTACATGACTCTTACTATGTCTGCTTCACTACATATGTAACAAGCTAATGAAGTGGCTTGCACACTTGTCCAGACTTCTCGTTTCACGTCTTGTCTTGTCTCCTATTTTGATTTGTCGGGTTCTTTTTTTTTATTAACCTAGATATCCAACCCGCTATGCGAGTCGACTAATCTTAAAACTACCATCTGCTTTGCAGATAGCCCAGAGTCACCGCATTTGTACCTCCGTGGTCACAAGGGGATTTTTATTCCTACTTGGATTTGAACATAAGACCTCCAGATACTTTTGACCTTTAGAGCCAAGCTCAAACCAATTAGGCACCATCCTTGTCGTTGATTTATTAGAGTTTTCTAACTCTAACATTTGTCTTTTAGAATCTCTTTATTGAATTTCTTTTGTCTTTAGGAAAAAAAGGATTCATTTAACTGTATTTTATAAGATTTGATATAAATATATATATATATATATATATATATGGTTGGGTTCACGTGAGACCAGTCTGTTTTCGTGAGACCCGTGAGACCACATGTTTACACGTAAACTTCACAGTAAAAACACTGTGAAGGTTTTAAAAAGTCGAACCTTCACAGCAAAAACACTGTGAAGGTTTTAAAAAGTCACCTTCACAGCATTTTTGCTGTGAAGTTTCAAGTGTAAAATACTGGTCTCACGGGTCTCACGAAAACAAGCTGGTCTCACATATCCCAAGTCTATATATATAAACATATATAAATCATACATATATTTATATATATATACATACACAAATACTGTATGCATATATAGAAAAGAAATAGGCCATTGATTTATGAATCTAAATATGGCCGTACAGATGCAAGAATGGGCAAAAACAATGGAGCCATTTCTCCATAGCCAGCCAACATCCACTTTCACGGCCACCCATCTCTAAAACAATCAAACACCATCTCTCTTATTCCACATTTTGATTCACCACCACCACCCGTCACCATGAGCGGAGGTTATGAAGAAAAAGGCTCCGGTGCTTGCTTACGTTGTATTTGCTGCTGTTATTGCCTCCTCTTCCTTCTAATCGCCATCGTAACTTTCGTCGCTTATCACTTCTACACCGTCGAGAAGCCAAAACCGCCTACCTACAATCTCCAATCCTTCAGCGTTAAAAATCTCGATCTTCAGTCCGATAACAGCCTCACAACCGAGTTCTCCGTCGAAGTTAAAACCAGAAATCCGAACAAAGACATCGGATTCATTTACGGTGCCGATAACAAAGTCTCCGTGCTTTACAACGATGTTGTCATATCTTCCGGCAAGCTTCCGGAGTTCAAGCAAGATCCTAAAAACACGACGGTGGTAAAGATCTCATTGGAAGGGACGAGTCCAAACGAGCCTGGCAGCCTTCAAGATGATGTAATAGGTAGTAAAGACAACGACGGGATTCCATTGGTCGTGAATGTGGAAGTTCCGATGAAGGTTTTTGTTGGAAAAGTTGAACTGATGAAGGAGTTTATGGCATATGTCAGCTGTGATTTGGTGGTGGATAATCTGGCAAAAGGGAAGACGATCAAGGTCGTGAAGAATGAGTGTGAACCAGATGTCGAATTTTTCAGAGATAAGAATTAATATATGTGTGTGTATATATATATATATATACATACATATATTGTGGTTCTGCAAAATGTGTGTGTGTTAATGGTCGGGGGGGATCGAAGAATGTTCATCACGACATTTATAACCTAGTTTAAAAAATCGATTTTAACGGTTTAATCGTTTATCAGTATTATAAATATCTGATAAACGAGTTACATATAGGTACGTGGATATAAAGGGTGGTTGTTTATATCGATTTTAGGGTTAGGTTACTCTTTTGATTTTTTTATGATTTAGGGTGTTGTTAGATACGATTAAGTTCGAATATTCTACAACAGAATTTCATAGGAAAGTATTGTATGAGAGTATCGAAAAAAGAGGTCATTTGAAACATGGTTCAAATAAATTGGGTTTTTTCTTTGTACGGTTTCATGAATTTCTCCAAAATTTGTGGTTTGTTAGGAGCGGTTTTCTTGGCTACAAGTTTCATATGTTTTCGGGGTGACTGGTGCCTTCGACGACATTGAGATGTCTTTGGCGATGTATATTTGTTCTAATTCTCGGTGGATCATCGTGTATGCATGTTTCATGCATGGAAGGTAACGTGAAAGGTCTAAGGACTAGGGTCTAGGGAGAATTTTGCACGAATTCCATAAAAAGTGTAATAATTATACATTAATAAAACTATACATGATCGAATGTAATTGTGTGCAAATATTATTTTGTTGATAAATTATGCATCATTAAGGGTACGTGTGGTATGCAGAGCCGGATGGAACAGGTGAGGACAGAACAGAACAGGCTTGTCCCATGCTTGGCGTGCCATTATGTGGAAGAGAGTAGAACTAACTAGAACAAGATTGGAGCACTTGTGTTCCACCCCTTACCCCTGGAACTAACTAGAACAACATCTGATGTACCAAAGTACCCTTAAACCTAATACACTTTCTCCTTCATGCTTCATGCCTACAGATCGACTTCGCCTCCCTCGTCTGGACTTCTCTTCCCTCGATGGACTTCACTCCTACTACAGAAAATCGAAATCGTTCAACAAGGTAATCGATCTATTCTCTCTTCTTCCATTGACCTGCTGATTTCTCTCTTGGACCGTCGATTTTTGACGTAATCGACATCGAATCCACACATGGCGACTGGAAACACATCGAGTTTGTGACTAGAAACCATCAATTTTTAACTGGAACCACTCGACTTCTTACTGGAAACACATCGATTTTTGACTGGAAATCAATCGATTTTGTGACTGGAAACTATCAACTTTTGAATGGAAACCATCGATTTTGTATTGTAACTTCATCGATTTTTCGTACGCAATTGATGCAATGTATCAACCTATATCGTATGAAATCAATAAGTAATTTGATGTAACTGACTCAATGTTGTTAGCATTTCGTCTATGTGATTTATACCAGTGTGTTGCTCCATCCATGTTTTTCTTAACACCAGGGAACCCACCTTTCTTGATTACATAACTTTTCTTGAACATTTGTGGTTTTGTATTTTTTAATATTGTTTGATGATTTTCATTTAGATTTATTATTTGGTAAAATAACATTAAACAACTCACTAGGAGTAAACTGGTCATTTAACTTGTCTTGTCATGTCCAGTCATGTCTTACCAAATGCTGACAGTTGTGTTATCTTGTTCGGTCATGTTCTGTCATGTCATATTCTGCTTGCATACCAACCGCACCCTAAACAAATGTTGTGTTTTTCTATACACGAGGACAACATTGTTATACAATTATATGTCATCATATACATTGTGAAAGTAAATACATAAACAATTAATACCCTATTGAAAACGAATGCAATAATATGAATATCAAATTAAACATATAAAAACCTTTTTATAATTAGTTTACTTTCATTTTCTTGTCAAATTTTAAATTATTTTAGATTTAAAAAAAGAAGGAGAATTTGTTTCTCAATTTTAAAAATTAATTATTATTATTTTAAATAGATGTTAGTATTTCGAGATGAGATCAACATCAGACTGGTACTGAACCGGGATGGAACCGGTTGGTACTGAAAATTAATGGGACTAAAAACGAGGACCGAAACCGAACCGTATGTACATATTTGGCACCGGTTCGGTTTTGGTTTGAGAAATTCAGGACTAGGACCACTTGTGATAACCAGATCCTGGTTATTACCCAAGGTATTTAATACGTGATTATTTGTTTGAATAA